AGCTTAAGTGATTAATCAATTCCAATGTGAGAATTGAAAGGCTATAAATACCCTCCTGGGGTAAGCCTAAACACACAACTCAAAATTTACTCTCCTTCTTCTTCTTTCTAGTTTTATAAAGTTCTTTCTTTTCTTTTCAAGTTTTCATTTTTATTTTATTTTACTTTTAATTTTTAAACATGCTAAGTATGACTTTTGTCATGCTTAGCTAATTCTCTCATAATCCGAGAGCTTAAGTGATTACTCAATTCCAATGTGAGAATTGAAAAGCACCTTAATAACTTCGGAACATTTCTCTCAATCTCTGCGCTTATTTTCAAAATCAAATATTGACTTTGGTCAAGATGTTGTAGCGATTAGATATGTTGAAGGAAGGAACGGATTATTGAAAGCACATTCGACTTCCTGGGAACACACTTGGCGAGATTGCCATGCCAAGAGGGAATTGAGATTATAATTAGTAGTTATTAAAACAATAATCCATGTCAGTCTTCACGAACTTAACGATTATTGATCTACGACAATTGATATTGATCAGATCAATTTCTGAAGCTGGAATCAAAGATTGCCTTGGGTATTCGGTATAAAAGAAGAGTCAAGAAGATTTCCCTTGTAGACAAAGTAACTGACGTGAATCCCGAAGGAAAATTCTAATTCGATGATCCGAAGGAAATTTAGTCAAAATGAGGCTTGAGGTTGTTTTTACCATATTCATTTTCAACTTTCAACTTTTATTTTTTATTTTTCTTTAAATCATTTTTTATTATTTAATTCTTTTTACCAAAACCCTTTTTTTCCTAATTATCATCTGGTTTAAGTAAATCAAACAGAAATTTGGACTGAGAAGAAGGAATTTATTTTAACATCAAAACGACACTTGTCACCTATGGATGTAAATTAGTGAAATCTGGCTAATTTGTGTTTTAAACAGTATGTTTAGAAAATCACCATAAATTCTAAAATATGATTAGAGGATGTTTTTTATTAGTAGTTTCGTTTACAATAAATGGATACTAATTTTGATGAGTATACAAAAAGATATGATTTTTTAATCGATGATAGGTCAGAAAATATGGAAGCGGTTTCTGTTTAAAACTTCTTTAAGTCAACTTTGAAAATTCACTATAAATTGTACAAATTGAACTAGAAGAAGTTTCTTATATGGTTAGATTTTTATTTGAGTTTAGTTTTCAATGGTATAAATAGAATAATTTTTGAGTGTGTATATTAATACAAAATAATATTTCTTTGATGGTAGTGCAAACTACCAGAATATGAAATTGTGATAAATTTTGGGATCGAACCAAATTGAAAGCAAAGGATAAATTAAAGCTTAGTGAGGCTTATACTTTGACTTGTATATAAAGTGTCAAAGTGAGTGCAATGCAAGCATGACATTATACATGAATTCTTTAAACATCATTTGGAAGACTTGCGATGAGTCTACCTTGTTTATATTGGCAAGATATTTATGTAATTTATCATATTTTTTACATGTTTTAAATATGTCAAAAGTTAAATATAAATTGCATTAATCACTATGCATAAATATGATGTATTTCAATGGATGTTAATTTAGGTATGAACTGCCCAAATGCTAAATTATATTGATATACATTGCCATGGATGGAATGAAAATAGACTATATGCCCAAGTAAGTCATTGAGGGACAGGGCATAGTTGGCATGCCATAGAGTCCAGTACTTAGTGTATATAGTGGGCACGACCTTATGTGTCATATTTCGGTTAGCACAAAGGATACCTAGTGTAGATGGTGGGCACGACCTTATGTGTCATATTCGGGTTAGCACTAAAGGATACTTAGTGTATATGGTGGTTACAACCTTATGTGTCATATTCAGGTTAGCATTAAAGGACACCTAGTGCATATGGTGGGCATGAACTTATGTGTCATATTCGGGTTAGAAATTTGGTGCATATTTGACTCGTGTACCTAGGGTCCTCATAGGTTATATTTGGGCTATGGTTTATTGGTTAATAAATGATAAACATCTGAACAAGCTTATGAGCTTTTGGAATGAATGGAAAGTATTTTGGCAAGAAATTTTATTTGTCGTTCATATCATGTTATTATTAGTAGCATGATTGAAATTACAAGTAAAGTGATCATAATGCATTGGATATTCTTACTCATTTACATTTATGTGTTGCATTGCCTTGAATATTTCTATTGATTGTCTCCCTAAGTGTATACTTACCGTGTGATAATTTTCACTCGTTGGTAAAAGATAATAAGAGGAGTAAGAAGTTGACCTTCGCATCAATCATCAAGGAATTTTTACAGGTATCAGTAATACATCCTAGTGTGTTCTAAATTTTCTAGCTGGCATGTATACGAGTAAGAAATATCTACAAATTATTAATATAGTTAATATTAAATATAATTAATAGTACGAATAAATATTATGATATTAAACTATGTTTTAAATATTAATTAATTGGATTTTAAATCAGACAATTTTATTTATTATATGAAATAGAGCAAAACTGCCTGTTACTGATTTGAATTAGAAGTCGAAATATTATATTTAGATATTCTCTGATTAAGCATTTTATAATAAATTTAATATTTGGAACTTGTTAAAGAAACAAAATTTTACCCATTTTGGGTTAAGAAATGTTTGAATAATTAATGTGATATACTTAACTCGTAATAGTACACATTTACAGGTTAAGGGTGTTACAATGACTTATGATGTTATACACATAGAAATGACTTATTATGACTCCTTTAAACTTACATAAGCTTTAAATAACTTCTAAGGGCCTTCGGAAGGCTTAAGAGTGAAGTTGGGATGTCATTTTTGTGCAAAACAAAGTATTTCTGGATTTGAGTATCAGTAATGGATGAATAATACCGATAATATTCTTAGATAGCCAAAACAAGGGGGTTTTGGATTGATAGTATCGATACTCTATTTATAGAATATTTATACTATTCTTCGAGTACCAATACACAAGGGTGGCGTACCGGTACCATCAATAAGTTGCAAATTTCAGAGCCAGATTTATTATCGATACTTGGGGAGTATCGATACCATACAAAGAGGAAGTACCACTTCACTAAGAAAGGGTATTGATATTGATTAATTGCTTCAAACATTGAACCCAAATTTGGTATTGATACCCATGGTAGTATCGATACACTAATAGAGATGTACCGATACTACACAAAAGGGTATCGATAGTACAAGGCTTTCTCAGAACATCGAGTCTAAAATTGGTAACGGTACCAAGGGTGGGTATCAGTACTAAAAGGTCGATACTGATAACGAAGGGCTTAGTATCAGTACCCTCGTACTAAATTGGGCAAGAAGTTTAACTTTTCATTTAATAGTTTAGGAAAGTGGTCTAGAACTGCTAAAAGTACTTTAATAAGCTTACCAGTAAGAATAAAAAATAACTATAGTAAAAAGCATAAGAATATTATGAAGTAAGATGACATAAAACTTATGCCCTTGTGTTAAGCTTGGGAAACAACAAGAACACCCGAGTTACTTTAGTAAGTATGAAGATCATCTTGTTAGACTAGAAATATATGAAAATATCTAAACTAGTGTCAATGCACTTATTTGTTAACTTGGCACATATGTCCTGAGTACTCACAAGGAGTATGTTAGTCAGGTGTACATTTTCGATGCATAAATTATGTATCTCACCCTAGAAACCCGATGGTACCATAGCTAGACTAAGGGGTATGAGTCCGAAGATGCAATAAACTCTCCGATCATACCATGATTCTTACCCCAGAATAAGTGTTATTGTTCTTGTATGCTTATGTCAATATATGATAGCATGCCCGTATGATGAACACATGTAGTATAGAAGAGTTATTAATGTGGTACTAAGGTTGTGAGCTCACCCTTTAGAATTTGTTTTCGTGTGCAGGTTCTTAGGAGGATCATTGAGGAGCTTACTATCCAACTTGTATTACATATCGTTCGAGGCATAGAGTATGTTTTGAGTTTATTTTAGAGGGTATGTACTATTCATAGACATTGTGTATTCAATTTGTAACTCCACTTTTGAAATACTTATTTGATACATTTGGGATGTATTTGGGAGCTTTCCTCTTTTGTAAAACTTATTATACACTTGGTTTCATCTTTGTTATGAATGATGCTATTTTTATTGATGATTTTGATGTCGAATTTAAAGCAAAATTTTTGGTTAGACTCTTTAGTGGTTCCATGTAAAGCTTTAGTCCTTTGATCTCCGAGTTAGATCGGATTAGGGTGTTACATTTAGTGGTATTAGAACATCAGATTCAGTCTTTGTTAGGACCCGTAAGTTAGAGTCAGTAAAAGTTTATGTTTGTACATGCCTCTAGAGTGCCAAGAGTAGTTATATATCTAGAATGATGATAATAACCTCCCATTTCTTTTGAATTACATAAAAATCTATGGTCGATATTTCTCTCCTAATAACAAGGGTAAAATTGAGAGTAAGTCCACTTTAGTTTCTGACTCCATTGGCGAGTTTGTCCCAAACTCCAGATGTAGGGGTGGTCGAGGTTACCTTCTATAGGGACCTAACCTTAGCGCTTAGGCATGTCGTCCATGCTATCCCTAGAGCACCAGCTATTCCATCTGCCCCACAAGCACCAGCAAAATATGAAGATTTGATGCTTCAAGATTAGGGAAGAAGAGGATGATATAAATTAGAAGATAATGATTTGGAAATTTTAATTTATAAGGAAATATGATATAGAAAATAAATGTAGTGTGTACTCATTTAATTGGAAAGGGACCATGGATGAGATGGTAAATAGGATTTATGAAATAATTTTTCCACGATAACTCTCAGTCGATACCTGTTCTGAGCACTATAAATAACCATACAAAAGAAAATAAGGGTACATACATTTTCTCCAAAAAGACTAGACCAGCCGTATTATAACCAAGACCAATATTACCAGAATTATCATCAGCACCTCCGTCTTTAGTTGTTGTGCACTTTTCCAGTCAATAAATATATATTTATTCCGCTACTGTAATGACACAATGTGGCACCGGCAAGGCAGTGTTTGAACCTTGTTGGATTGATTCCTGGTGGATTGAATGTGGTTGTTCAGATAAGACCGTAACATTACTCTGCCTAAAAGATGCGGCATTGCCCAATTCATTTACTGCTTCAGCAATTTTCTCAACGCACTCTATGATTTCCAGCAGAGGTGATGTAACTGAAGCAGCCGGTATAATCTGTAGTAAATCTGCTTCTTCCCACAGGTTTGTTTTGAGCAGGCTTTTGAGATCCTCGGCAGCTTTCTTTGAGCTTTCAATGTGTGTATTAGCCGAGCTTTGTTCGAACCATGTTTAAAAATGTAGTTGCCATTTCCCTCAAAGCTCGGCTATATTCCAGGCTAACCCTTTTGCATGGCTCTTCGATTTTGCCACGGATTTCTGCAGGAGTATACGAGAAATAAAACCACATTTGAATCAGTTGATGAATTATGTTTAAACTTGGTAAGTTATGGTATTTATTATACCTGGATTTTACAGTTAAGGTGGCTGTTAAGAGCTTCAACTTTGTAAGCACAGTCCCGAGTAAGGTTTCCGACTTTGAGGTACATTTTCCATGGATGACGGTACCGGAACGGACCATGACCTCGTTCCCATCTTGCAAAATTAGCCTGCAGGGAGATAATGAACATTGAAATATTGAATAAGTCACTTCACTTAGGGGTATGCTTGTTTCAAAGAAACTAGATTTCGAAAAATAATTTTTGTTAAATGAATTACATTTCTTAGAAAATCATTTTATGTTGTTTGGATGATTTTGTGTAAATCATTTTCTACTGGTTAGTAAATTTTTTAGAAACAATTTATTATAAATATCAGATATAACAAATAATATTATTTAGTAAAAAAATTAATAGCATTATTTTTAAAATATTATAATAATTTATATACTATTATTTATATCAATATTATTATTAAAATATTATTTTATAATAAATAATATAATTTATTATATTATTAAAATACGAATAATATCATATATTATTGTAATATAATTAAATATATTATTGTAATACTGAATAATTTATATTATTACAATTCTTAACAAATATATTTTACTAATGAATATTTTTATTAAAATGATATTGAAATAGTATATTAATATTCAATACATTAAATAATATTAGTTTGAATATTTTTATTTTAAACTGAAACGTTTGAAAAACAACCTATCAAACCGTAAGTCATTTTTCGAAAAATTAATTACAGTGAAATAGATAGACCCTTCAATCAACTAGTTATTTGGCTGATCGCTTACCATAGTTTCTTCGCTGCTTTTAGAAGTTAGAACACTTGTATATCCTTGAAGATATGACTTATTTTTCTCATTGGATTTTTCAGTGAAATATTCATCTCCAAAAGCTGTTTTGATGAAGTCTAAAACATTATTCCATTCTTTAAACGTAAGGAGTATTATTAATTGGTACCTTGAAGAAAATTGCTTAACTTTTCCATGTTTGCAGAGACAGATTTATGGAGATCCTCACCGATCCAAAAGGGGAAAAGGCACATACAAACAATAAGAGAAACGCAGCAACCAACTATGATGGCTAAAAACCTGTCGTGTGCCATTTCTAGCACTTGGTCATCTCGGTAACTCGATATGGATACTAAGCAGAAGGTCAGTATGAATATCAAGTGTCCGTAGGGATATCTTGCCTTCACGGTTGGGATGAATCTCATAAATGTCGTTATCACATCTGCAAAAAGAGACGACGATTAGGAGTGAGTATTTTATCGAGTCGAGTTAAAATATTTTAAGTTATTCGAGTTTACCGTTCTTTTTTATGACTCGAATTTAACCTGATTTTTTTTCGAATTGAGTTGAGTGTCAACAATCTCTAGAGCAGATGTTCAAAAGCACTTAGTGAACACCTCCTCTCTTCCCTAGGTTGTGGGTTATATACCCATTATAAGCAAAATTCCTCTTCCCCCTCCCCTAGGTAGAAATTGTTCAAAAAAAGAAATTCTAGTTGTTCAAGTTTCTATATAAATTTAATTGTAATTATTTCTAGTATTATGATACAAATTGATTCCAATTTTTCGATTTTTTCTAACCACATAATATATATATATATATATAATACTATATAATATATCAAATATAATCTAAAATTATAAAATTTATTTATAATATTATATTTTAAATAAAATATTATGAGATTAAAGTATTGATAAGAGTGTGAAGGACTCAAAGAATTTATGAGAATAAATAATTTGCAAATAATTGTACTTAAAAGAACAAATTGAGTAAAGTACATAGTTAAGAGCTAAATTAAAAAAAAATAGTATATTTTAATAATAAAAAAAGGAATTGATGTTGTGTAGATATTCTGCAGTGGTATAGGTGACTTAAAATGAAAGATGAATTGAAGAAATAAAAAAATCATGAAAATTTTAATGATTAAGTTGAAAAATAGGAAACTTGTTATTAAAAAGAAGAATTAAAAGATATAAGTATTCGTTGATAGTTTAGGAGCATGTCGATCAAATTTAGTAAAAAATGGACTTGAAATGGAAGAATTAAAATAATAAAGAAATCAAAGACTAAATCGTAAAACTATCAAAATACTCAGCAAAATTTTAGGTTTTTCAAGTGACTCAAAATTTTTAAATTTTAACTCTACTCTAACTCGAAATCCGACTCAACAATTCGAGGTGACTTGAATAACCCAACCTGAATAATTAAATTTTTTTTTAAAATAATTTTCCGAGTCGATGCGAATTTTGCTCATCCCTAACCACAATGATTGAGATACTAAAACCATGCAACTGCATGGATGCTTAATATAAATTTATATATATGTGACACAAATCAAACAACCTCTATGGTCAAGGGATTTGTTGTTATCCCTTAAGGTATCGAATTAGAGCACCGTATAAGAAAGGATATAAATGTTCATTGTCAAAAGGTTAAGAGTCTTTGAACATATATTACGTTGTATTCACCCAAGATTCAAGGTCGACCCTGGGCCAAGGTAGGAGGGGCAACAAATTAAAAAAAATTAATATAATATTTTATCTTAATTTTTATAATAAATTTTAAAAACTATAATATAACGAAGCTTATGAATTTATTAAGGTATCAATTTTCATTATTAAATTGTTTATATTAACACTAATAAACTATTTCACTTCCCATAAAACTCTAATTCAATAATTTTTTCAAAATTCTAAACAAAATTGAATCTATTTAATTTTGGTCTTTTCAAATTCTCACAATCAATGCACGTCTTTTCAAATTCTCACGATCAATGCACAAAATCTCTTTCCCAATTTTTCTATATCAATAAAAAAATTTATTAACGTTATTGTTTTCTCTTCAAAATTTAACGGGAAGAAAATTTCAAAATTTAACGGGAAGAAAAAACTTAAGTATAATTAGGCTACTTCTTTTCTCTTCTATATTTCACAATTTCTCTTAAAATTATTACTCACTTTTTAATTTCTCATACTTTAAAGAAATATGTTAAAATTGTTTATATTAATTGTGGTGCTTGAGTCATATTAAAGATTGTTCTTAAAATCATAGGTAAGATCATGTTTCCAAATTCTTTCATTTTGACTTTTATATATTTCCAAATTCTAGGTAATATCGTTCTTTTATTTGTTAGTGCTATAATATGTATTGAGAAAAATATGTTCGAAAACATTGATGTTGACACTATCATCAATGATTATACATCAAGAAATACTTGAATGCAGTATTTTTTATAAGTATGTATGCCTAAATATATTTTTGACATTTCTAATTTTGTAATGAATTATTATTTGTTTAATTTAAAAAAAATTAATAGAAATATTATATTACATATTTATTAAATTTCTTTCAAATCAGGGGACCAATTTTAGTTTCGTCTCAAGCCATGAAATAGTCAGGACCGACCCTGCCTAGATTTATCGTGGTAAAAAAGGAATTTATATATGTGATATTTTTACCTATAATGAAGACAAAAGTTGCTACCAAGATGGGCTTCCCTTTCCTTCCGGAAAGAGTTGATGAACAGTGAGCTCCAACGCCCAGGGCACCCGCTACCAACGTCGCCAACATCCTATTTAAACCTTTTCCAAGTGTTGCACCTGCACAATTTTAAACAAAACTATGAGATTAGCGTAAAGTTTCCAACAAGTTAAAACATGGAAAATCAAAACATCAATCCAAAAATATTTTCGAAGACGGATACCTTCAATAAAATAAATATCTAATCGAAAGAAATTTAGACTACCAACGGAGATTTCAAAGGCAAGAACAACAGTCAGTACAACCCACAATGCACCCTCTTGCCCAAAACCATCATAGAGTGGGTAAAAGTAGTATAACAATAAAACAAGCGAAACAGCTAGTCCAACTTTTAGGGAACGGACTATTCTCCTTGGATCATCTTGTCCCTGTTTCTTCGTCTTGCTTGCGATCTTCATTGTTTTGTCACAAAATTTGCTTGGAAATGCCTTAACCCATTGGCACCCAATAGTTGTGGCTCCGTGTGGAGATGTCACTGCTTCCATTTGATATATATATTTTTCAGAAATGAGGGACAACACTTGAGATCGAAGAGTGAATCAACCAAGGGTATATATGGAGGGAATAACTCCAACTCTTCGACACTGTTGAAGAAAGGTGAAGACCGACAATACCTAGTACAATGAATAATTGAGAAATGTGAACTAACACATGAGAAATCCAATGGGGTCAAATAAGGGTAGCCAGATAATATATACCAACAAGCAGCACCACGATGTGCGTATATATTAGTGGCATATATAAAATTAAAAAATGAGTTCCAAAATTTTACTATTTTATTTCTTAAGAAAAATGTTAATGTAAATTTCTTTATTTTTTCATTGTCTTTAATATATTAAACTAGATTTAAAAACATTTTTTTTTCAAAATAATAGATATACAATTAAATATAGTTAATACTATATTTAAATATTATTAATATTGTTAGATATAATTAATAGTACGAATAAATATTATGATATTAAACTATGTTTTAAATATTATTTAATTGGATTTTAAATCAAACAGTTTTATTTATTATATGAAATAGTGTAAAATTGCCTTTTACTGTCTGAAACCGAGTTTGAATTAGAAGTCAAAATATTATATTTTGATTTTCTCTGATTAAGAATTTTATAATACATTTTAAAATTTGGAACTTGTTAAAGAAACACAATTTTACCCATTTTGGGTTAAAAAATGTTTGAATAATTAATGTGACATATTTAACTCGTAATAATACACATATACGGATTAAGAGTGTTACAATGACTTATGATGTTATACACATAGAAATGATTATTATGACTCCTTTAAACTTACATAAGCTTCAAATTATGTTTAAGGGCCTTAGGAAAGCTAAAGAGTGAAGTTGGGGTGTCTGTTTCAAGTATAACAAAGTATTTATGGGTTTGAGTATAGGTAATGGGTGAATAATACCGATAGTATTCTTTAGATAGCCAAAACAAGGGGTTTTGGCTTGGTAGTATCGGTACTATATTCATAGAATATTTATACTATTCTTCGGGCATCAATATGCAAGGGTGGCGTACCGGTACCATCACTAAGTTGCAAATTTCAGAGCCAAATTTATTATCAGTACTCGGGGAGTATCGATACCATACAAAGAAATACCACTACCCTAAGCAAAGGTATTGATATTGATTAATTGCTCCAAACATTGAACCCATATTTGGCATTGATACCCATGGCAGTATCGGTACGTTAATAGAGATCTACTGATACTCCAAATAAGGGTATAGGTAGTACAAGGCTTTCTTAGAACATCGAGTCTAAAATTGGTATCGATACCAAGGGTGGCTATCGATACTATACCGATATTGAAGGACTTAGTATTAGTACCCTCGTACTAAATTGGGCAAGAAGTTTAACTTTTCGTTTAAGAATTTAAGAAAGGGGTCTAGAACTACTAAAACTACTCTAATAAGCTTACCAGTAAGAATAACAAATAACTATATTAAAAAGTATGAGAATATTATGAAGTAAGATGACATAAAACTTATGCCCTTATGTGAAGCTCGCGAAACAACAAGAACACCCGAGTTACTTTAGTAAGTATGAATATCTTCTTGTTAGACTAGAAATATATGAATATATCTACACTAGTGTCAATGCACTTATTTGCTAACTTGACACAGACGTCCTGAGTACACACAAGGAGTACGTTAGTCGGGTGTACATTTTCGATGCAGAAATTATGTATCTCACCCTAGATACCCGATGGTACCATAGATAGACTAGAGGGGTATGAGTCTGAAGATGCAATAAACCCTCTGAGCATACCATGATTCCTACCCCAAATAAGTGTTATTGTTCTTGTATGCTTATATCAATATATGATAGCATGCGCGTATGATGAAATCGTGTAGTATAGTTGACTTATTAGTCCGATACTGAGGTTGTGAGCTCACCATTTAGAATTTGTTTTGGTGTGCAGGTTATTTGGAGGATCGTTGAGGAGCTTATTTCCCAACTTGTATTCCATATTGTTCGAGGCATAGAGTATGTTTTGAGTTTATTTTAGAGGGTATGTACTTTTCATATACCATGTGTATTCAATTTATAAATCCACTTTTGAAATACTTATTTGATACATTTGGAATGTATTTCAGAGCTTTCCTCTTTTGTAAATCTTATTATACACTTGGTATCGTTTTTGTTATGAATGATGCTATTTTATGATGATTTTGATGTCGAATTTAAAACAAAATTTTGGTTTAGACACTTTGGTGGTTCTGTGTAATGCTTTAGTCCTTTGTTCTCCGGGTCAGATCGGATTAGAGTGTTATATTTAGTGGTATTAGAAGTTCAGGTCCAGTCATTGTTAGGACCCGTAGGTTAGAGTTAGCAAAAGTTTATATTTGTACATGCCTCTAGATTGTCAAGAGTATCTATATATCTAGAATGATGATAATAACCTCATGTTTCTTTTGAATTACATAAAAATCTATGGTCGATAATTTTGCTCCTAATAACGAGGATAAAAAATGAGAGTCGAGCCTCTTTAGTTGACGACACCAATGACGAGTTTGTCCCAAACTCCAGATGTAGGGGTGGTCGAGGTGACCTTCTATAGGGACCAAACCTTAGCACCTAGGCATGTCGTCCATGCTATCCCTAGAGCACCAGCTACTCCACCTGCCCCACAAGCACCAGTAAAATATGAAGATTTGATGCTTTAATATTAGGGAAGAAGAAGAAGAGATAAACTAGAAGATAAGGATTTGGAAATTTTAATTTATAAGGAAATATTATATAGAAAATAAATGTAATGTGTACTCATTTAATTGGAACGAGACCATGGATGAGATGGTAAATAGGATTTATGAAATAATTTCTCCACGATAACTCTCAATTGACACCTGTCCTGAACACTATAAATAACCATACAACAGAAAATAAGGTTACATACACTTTCTCTAAAAAGACTAGACCAACAATACTATAACCAAGACCAATACTACCAGAATTATCATCAGCACCACCGTCTTCAGTTGTTGTGCAGTTTTCCAGTCAATATATATGTATATATATTTATTTATTCCGCTACTGTAATGACACAATGTGGTCCCGGCAAGGCAGTGTTTGAACCCTGTTGGATTGATTCCTGGTGGATTGAATGTCGTTGTTCAGATAAGACCGTAACATTACTCTGCCTAAAAGATGCGGCCTTGCCCAATTCATTTACTGCTTCAGCAATTTTCTCAACGCACTCTATGATTTCCAGAAGAGGTAATGTAACTGAAGCAGCCGGTATAATCAGTAGTAAATCTGCTTCTTCTCACGGGTTTGTTTTGAGCAGGCTTTTGAGATCCTCGGCAGCTTTCTTTGAGCTTTCAATGTGTGTATTAGCCGAGCTTGTTCGAACCATGTTTAAAAATGTCGATGCCATTTCCCTCAAAGCTCGGCTACATTCCAGGCTAACCCTTTTGCATGGCTCTTCGATTTTGCCACGGATTTTAAACTTGGTAAGTTATGGTGTTTATTATACCTGGATTTTACAGTTAAGGTAGTTGTTAAGAGCTTCAACTTTGTAAGCACAGTCCTGAGTAAGGTTTCCGACTTTGAGGTACGTTTTCCATGGATGACGGTACCGGAACTGACCATGACCTGGTTCCCATCTTGCAAAATTAGCGTGCAGGGAGATAATGAACATTGAAATATTGAATAAGTCACTTCACTTAGGGGTCCGCTTATTTCACGTGAAATAATTTTTGGTAAATGAATTACATTTCTTAGAAAACAATTTCTGAAAATCATTTTATGATGTTTGGATGATTTTGTATAAAACATTTTCTACTGGTTAGTAAATTTTTTAGAAACAATTTATTCCTATCAGATATAATAAATAATATTATTTACTAAAAATAATAGCACTTTGTCATCTCGGTAACTCGATATGGATACTAAGCAGGTCAGTATGAATATCAACAGTCCGTAGTCATATCTTGCCTTCACGGAATGGACCATAACCTGGTTCCCATCTTGCAAAATTAGCCTGCAGGGAGATAATGAACATTGAAATATTGAATAAGTCACTTCACTAGGATTCCGCTTGTTTCACGGAAACTGGATTTCGAAAAATAATTTTTGTTAAATGAATTACATTTCTTACAAAACTATGAGATTAGATTAAAGTTTCCAACAAGTTAAAACGATGGAAAATCAAAGCATTGATCCAAAAAAAAATCAAATAAAATTCAAAGACAGACACCTTTAATAAAATAAATAACAAATCGAAAGAAATTTAGATTATCAACATAGAATTCAAAGACAAGAACAACAGTCAGTACATCCCACAATACACCCTCTTGCTCAAAACCATCATAGAGTGGGTCAAAGTAGTAGAACAATGAAACAAGCGAAACAGCTAGTCCAACTTTTAGGGAACGGACTATTCTCCTTGGATAATCTTGTGCCAGTTTCTTCGTCTTCCTTGCGATCTTCATTGTTTTGTCACAAAATTTGCTTGGAAATGCCTTAACCCATTGGCACCCACTAGTCATGGCTCCGTGTGGAGATGTCACTGCTTCCATTTGATATATATATATTTTTCCGAAATGAGGGACAACACTTGAGATATAAAGAGTGAATCAACCAAGGCTATATATGGAGGGAATAACTCCCAACTCTTCGACACTGTTGAAAAAAGGTGAAGACCGACAATACCTAGTACAATAAATAATTGAGAAATGTGAACGAACACATGAAAAATCCAATGGGGTCAAATAAGGGTAGCCAGATAATATATACCAACAAGCAGCACCACGATATGCTTATATATTAGTGGCAGATCTAAAATTAGAAAATGGGGTCCAAAATTTTACTATTTTATTTCTTAAGAAAAATGTTAATGTAAATTTCTTTATTTTTTTCATTGTCCTTAATATATTAAACT